AAATATTGACGATCGGCCTAGTAGTTTCGTAGATGGGGGGGGGGGGCTCTGGACTCTGGAGAGTCCCCCCCCGTCACTCGCGTTATGGAAAATACCCCAGTCATGCGCTGGTTAACCTGCAAGATAGGCGCATTTAGATATGCATTACGAATGCGAGCCTTCCACCTCGAAGAGGTGTGGAATGGAAGCTAAGGCCTATGGTGGTCACACCAAATGAGACGGTTTATCGTGAACTAATGTATAGTAGAAATGAAACGGTCTTTTTCTTACCTCCACAAGTCCACATGATGTACTGCGTTAAAGAATGTTTGTTTCAGTCTTCGACTTCTTTGACCGCCTTATTGTAAGTGTACAGGTCTCGCGGGTTTTAGCGGTAGGTTTTGCACCTAGAAAACTTAGAGTACTTCAGGCTATATCTTCGTCGTCTTAAGCTTTTAAGCGTTGAAGATGCGATCGACTTGTTGGGTAACAAGCCGGCCATGACCATGTAAAATGGGTTCATCGTAGATCGATTAGTTTCTGAGATATAACCGGAAATGTAAAAGTGCAAAACCTACTGCTTAATCTCGCGAGACCTGTACATACACATACACTGGTTTAGTAACAAATAGACCCACTTAGTGAGCACTAACCTTCCAGGCGGTGAGAGGGGGGGGGGCATTTTTTTGCCCCCCCCCCTTTAGTTTTTTCGATATATCTCCAGAACCGCTGCGCCGATCGTCACCAAACTTCCATTACCCTCCCGTGAATAGCCATTGCACATTGTGACCAAAAATGTATCCAAAGGCTATGATAGGTTGGCCGCTAATGACGTCAGAGTGACGTCATTTTTGCCATTTTCGACCCAAAAAAGGTTTCGCGGGAAGAGCTGTCAGGCCTACAGCTTTAGAGATACAGAAAAATGTTTCAGACATAAGAGGTGTAGAATTAGCAGGGCTACAAAACTGCCATCTCGGATTTTTGAAATTTTTGGTTTTTGACCCCAAAAATCAAAAAAAAGATTTTTTGAATATAATAGCTGAAAAATCCAAAAAGTTTTTTGAATTTCGAAAAAACCGGAATATATGTGATAGTCCCTACCACATTCTATCTACATACCAAATTTGAGATCGATACCTCTTTTTTTGGCCAAGTTATAGCGAAAAAAACTGTTCAAAATTGATGACGTCAAATTTTCAAACTCAATTTTTAGCAATTCTAGACCTCATAGCGCAAAACAAAGACCACCATTAGACTCCCCGTGACGAGCTGCATCGAATCAATACCCATTTTATGCAAAACTAACAACTTTTAAATTTGACCTTTTTTACCTGACCTTGACCTGACCTCCACCAGAAAGTGACCTAAACCGTACCTGATGGTCTTATAAGCAACACCATTGAGTTGGAAATGAAAAAATTGGCCATAAAACATGCATCGCACAACACCAGTAAAGTTGGGTTCATGTGGTGACCCTTGGTGACCTTTGGTGACCTGACCTGTGACCTGACCTGGTATGACCAGTGACCTCTAATAGCAACATATGTACTAGACAACTGACGCCCTATCGCTGATTTTCGACAAAATGCGTTTTACTCGGTGTTTTAGGGCTTACCCTATATGACCCGTGAACGGTGAAACATTTTATCTTTGACATGACCTGTGACGTCATCGGTGACCCCGAGGTCAATGAAATTTGGTTTCCTTCGACAAATTTGACAGGGCTATCGAACGCGTTTGAATTTTCCGGATCCGTCTAGTAGTTTCGGAGATACGGGGGGGGGGGGCAAAAAAATGCCCCTCCCCACGCACGGAAGGTGGCCGGGAGGCCCACCGCCTGCCGGGTTAAAGCTCATAACGACTCTAGCAATATTTTACACATAATGCACACATATTTGCCAGTTATTGCATGATGCAAGCAGAAAAATGATGCGATCTAACCATCAGATTTGAAAGAAAAAATCATCTACTCAAAGAAAGCGATGTTCACAACTGTGTTTGAAAACTGAATCAGTTCTGTTTCGGAAAGCCGTAACCACTCAGGTTCAGTTGGTTCGGTTGTGATTGGCCATTATCGGATGCAGATTGGTATTTGGTAGTGTCGGTTCGTCATTTATAAGTTGCGCTGTCCGTTTTCTGATATTACTCTAGCAAGCAATATGAACGAAATGCATTTCTTAAAAAAGAATGCATGTCATGAAAAACTTTGCAGCTACTAACATATGTAGGTAATAAACCTACGTGAGACTTGTGCCGCCAAATCCCTCATGCGAACACATTATTTGATTACACGCTACCTGTTGACAACAAACAGAAACCAGGCAGTCCGGCGAGGGAAGGTCGCCATGTCACCGCTAGCCGTTCCCGTTTGCCTTTTTGGTCGGTAACTGTCGGTACCTCCACTCCCTGGTGGGCCCGGCGGCAACCAGGAAATGTTGACAAACATGCGGGGCAGCGCACCAACAGCGGGGCCGTCTAAACCGTACCGGTTCACAGTTCTGAGAGCTTACACACTCGAACGCCGGGCTAGAGTCGTCAGGAACACCAGTCTTTGGCATTGTAGCAGACGCCGATTACCAAACGGCGCTGACTCACGGGGCGAGCCTGTTTTCCGTTAGTTCCTTCTTATGATGCAACGGTGTGAGTTGATGGGCTTTGCTCAGATTACTGATTAAATCGGTTGGCGAGCAGCTGGTTCGGTTTAACTCTGTGGCGGCGCCTCTGTGCCTAACGTGCTCACGGAAACGTGCTCATAATCAGCGGTTGACCCGCCGAGGCTCCCTGAAATATACCTAATAGGATTTCGGTCTTATCACAGCGCCAGCAGCTGTTGGGGAACATCTGTTGGCACGGAGCGTTTGGACTACCGTGCACGCCCCCAATGACGGTGAAATGCCGCGGGAAAAGGCACCTAAGTGGCTGCGATTACATAAACTAATGAGACGGCCCATCGCCTCCATAGCATGAACGTGCATTTGTCGTGTAATTGAGCATTTACTGGTCTGCTAAACAGTTGTACCTGCCTTATTACGTTAGCAAACTCTGCCATTAACCCTCGCTGTTGTAGGAAAGATGCTGTTTTATACCGTCAGTTTAGTTATGTTACGAATATCTAACAAAATAACTACTACCTACACATTAAAATACCTGCATACGTAATCATAGATGTTAGGTTTAAGCTCTCGGTCACCTAATGGCATTCCACCGGGTAAAGCTTTGTGGCCCGATATCAAGAAAGATGTAAATGCTTGCCCTAGCTGCTTAAGCTTAACTATTCATGCTTTGAAACTTTTAGGGATTGATGAAAGTGAAAGTTTTATAAAAAGCGTACCTACCTCAAATTGTTGTTAGGCATGACCTAGGTCCATCCAAATTGACATAGGGTCAATTTTGCGACTTTTCCATCATCGTTAAAACAATGGAAAAAATGGAACTGTGCCTTTTTCCTATGAAAGTCATTCAAAACACGGAAAGGCATCGTTATATAACTTCGTTTTGAAGATAAAATTGGTACCTAGATGGCATCCGTAACCTCACAATAATCCTTTGAGGTAGTGCGGGGCCATACAGTTGGCTATTAATATTTCCCAATGACGCTTGATAGTGGCACGGTAAAGCAAAACCAGTTAGCCGAGCTTTGGGAAACAATTAAGCAAACGCGTGGGTGGGTCCTGGACGTGCAATGACAGACATAGGTACCTAAAAGGTTTTGTGGCAGTGATGCATTTTAGGCTGTAGTTTATCGAAGACATTGTTATAGGTGAATATAGATGCCGAAAAGATAACGTTCCCTGTGGGCTGAATACACTGCATTAAAACCGCATGACCTTGCTGATTTAACTAAGCTTCCTGCCATACAGGTAACCCCAATGGCACATAAAGTGGCTCTTGCTGCACTAACTGCTGGCTGTAGTCACACATTATGCTGTTTCTAGCGCCTGAACGCAGACACTAAACGCAGCTAGCTGTCAATGACCTGTGCCACAAACCGTCAGCTGGGCGGTCGAATCGTGACACATTCGTGATGTTAATGGGTCCGCTATCTTCTCCACGATTTCCACCGCCGTTTCTCCTGCCGATCACGGCCTAGTGAAAGCTGGCGGGTCGGCGCTCGGCACCCGGTCTGCTCGTGCGCCCATGCCCATTCGCGGCCGTCATCGTCTCTCCGCCGTGAGCGACGGCGCTGTCTCCCTGGCGGGGAGGCAGAGTTGTGTCCATAGAACTACTGCTGTCTCCTCGGCGGGGTGGCAGATTGTCTCTAAGGGAGAAAGCGGTTGTTTCCATGGGGTGGATATTGTCTCCACCGTGACATGTGGTGCTGTCTCCTCAGCGGCTCAGCTGTCTCCTCAAGCTGTCTCCATAGACAAGTGTTGTCTCCTCGGCGGAGAGACGCTCTAGCTCTGTGGGGAGTAGGTACCTATTGTTTCAACTTGCTGTTTCTCCTCGATGGGAAGTCGATGTTGTCTTTTCTGTAGATAGTTGTCTCATCTCTGTGGGAAAGGCCAGTGGCCGACACGGTCTGGCGACTCAGCCGTCTCGGTGACCGACCCTGAGTCAGCGACCCTGAGTCAGTCGCGTCCGACTCCGTGCGGATCCAGAGGCGCCGCTGCCGGTGTCGGCCGCTCAGTATGCACAGCACAGCCCGCAGTCCACAGAGACGCAGACACTGGTGGCCGGGGCTGGGGAGAAGAGCAATTACCATCTGAAATCTCACCTGGTCTCTGACAGACTCCGGGCTGTTCGGAATCGACACAGTGCGCCCGCACAGTGACTGGTGAAAAACTGACCTTAATGAGAGCGCCCGGTGACCTACTGCGATGGGTAGCGCTGATAGCTGTCGCGCACGGTCCCCGCACACTGCGGCCGTGGTGTGTGTCTGTGTGGTCACGCTCCAGCCGGCGGCCTGCCATGAGACGCTTCGAGTCTGAAACTAGTTTTTGTCACAGGTTACAAGGAAGTGACTGCGGTTCATAGCGACCCATGAAACATTGACGCGTCCGTCGGATGGTAAACTCGGCGGCAATAGAGTGTTTTGTGTATTGACCCGTGGTCGCAGCGTGGATCACAGCAGTGGGTGCACCGATCTCTGCCCAGCACACAACCACAGAGCTTTGTATATTGACACTGCTCGCCCCGCACGTGGCGTGCGCTGGCCGTACAACAACGAAAACAAACAGTCGCTCGCCAAGGACGGTGGATAAATCGGTGTAAGCGGCGGCCGGCCGACGCTCACACTCTCGGTCTCAAACTCTCGCACACACATGCGGACACGCGCGGAGAACAAATGAGCGCACGCACGTGGTGGCTGCCGACGCGGTGTAGCTATGCTACCATCCATAGTCGGACGGAAAATAAAATAATGAGGATTCAGTGAGCGACCCTGTCCAAAATCATATTTTGAACGGTACAATACAAACAACAATCACGGCGCTATGAGGAGTGTGACGTCCGTCGCGGTGCTCACCAGCTCCAGGTGACGTCGACGGGCGCGAACTCCCAGCGGTCGGGCTGGCCGCGGTGTCGCACCGTGTCCGCCTGCGGGCTGGTGCTCCACTGGAAGGCCGGCTGGCTGTCGTGCGTCGGCCCCGCCTCGGCGACAAACTCTAGCCGCTCGGCCAGCTTGGCCGAGGTCACCTTGGCGTCGATGGCGCCGTACATCTGGAAGCCGAGCCTCTTGAGCGGGTACGTGCCGTCCGGGTCGTTGAGGTCGCGCCGCGACGCGATGGCGTTGTCGGCCGAGTAGCCGGTGCTGCAGTTGCAGCTGGAGAGCGGGTCCTCGGTGAAGTTGTTGTGCCGCATCAGCCGCAGCGCCGCCGTGACGTTGGTGGCCAGCACGTGGTCGCGGCGGAACAGCTGCGCGCGCGGGTTCTTGTTGTGGCTGAAGAAGTCGCCGCGCTCGGCGCGCTGCCGTTTGTTGCCGCTGATGTCGTCGATGATGGGGAAGTAGGGCTGGTTGTAGCTGGCCCAGTAGCCGGCGTGTGCCAGCACCTGGGTCACGTCGTCGCCGACCAGCAGGCCGGGCATCTGCTCGGTCACCCAGAGCAGGCCCGGCTCGGCGCCCTCGGCTCCCACCTCGAACTTCTTGTAGTCGACAATCATCCACTGGTTGTTGTAGGTGCCGCTGTTGTAGCGTTTGAAGGCGTTATGCCACTCCTGGCCGGAGTTGGCCACCCGGTTGGCGACGGAGACGCGGATCCACTGCAGGACGCTGTTGCTGGTGGTGAGGAAGGTCCACAGGTCCTTGTTGTAGTTGTCCAGCGAGGTCTCGGTGGTGACCAGGCCGGCCGACGTGATGTGGAAGTCGTCCAGCGAGGCGATGCTGCCCGGGAAGCCGGAGAAGGCCACGGTCGGCGCGGCCACCGTATCGGCGCCCTCGGCCCCGGAGCGGAACGGCAGCGTCACCTTCTTCAGCAGGCGCGACATGTAGTTGTAGTCGACCCAGGTGTTGTGGCCGACGAGCAGGTCGGCGTTCTCGGGCAGCAGGCGCACCAGCACCGAGCAGTGGTCGCTGCCGCTGGGACCCTCCGCGCCCGCCAGCTTCTTGTTCACCGGCAGACCGATCTTGAGGTCCATGGCGTCCGGGAAGGCGTTGAGCCAGAGCGCGGCGTCCGGGCGCGCGCCGGGGATGGTGTCCTCGATGCCCCGCTGCAGTCCGTCCATCTGACTCAGCACCAGACCCACCTGGCGCCAGTACGGGTCGCGCTCCGACGACGACTCCACCTTCTTCCTCGTCCACTCGAGGTTACGGCCGAAGTACTCGTTGACGGCGGCGCACTTGCTGCTGTCGGCCGGCTTGGCGCAGATGTCCTCCACCACGTTGTAGATGAAGTCGGCGATCATGTTGCTGGTGATGTGCGCCTCGGCCAGGCCGGCGGCGAACGCTATCACCTGGTCGGCGTCCTCGTCCTCAGAGGGCCGTCCATCGATCTCGAGGCGCGCCCAGCCCGTGGCCGCCTGCTGGTCGGAGAAGTTAGCGCGCACCACCCACCCTGCTGCCTCGCCATCGTGCACCGAGTAGTTGCCGGAGGCGGCGTCGTGTGTGACCGAGATGACGGCGGCGCCGGCGGCCGCGGCCGTTGCTAACAGGCAGGCTAGCACACGCAACATGGTCGGGTTCGTCGAGCCGACTGGCGAGCGGCGCGGGTGGCCGACGGGTGTACTCCGGCTGCGTCAGCGCCCCTAGCGGCGGCGGCGCGCACTGCAACGCGAGAGTGTGACCCCGCGGAGCGGGACGGGTGCCGCCGCACAGCGCCGCCGCTGGAAAGTGCGGGGGTTACCGTGCGGTGGGTGCCGACTCGAGGACAGATGTCCAGTCCGAGCGGGGTTTCCGCGCGCGACACACGGCCCGCAGCTAATCCGAGCCGCTTTCATGGATAAAGGTGGCTGCTTAATCCTGGGATGTTTGCGTGAATCACGAAGTTTCAGCTGGACATTGCTGGCTGATCGGAACTGAAGCGATCATATGCCAAGATCTCAATCATAAACGAGTTTTGCAGCTTTCCATGTCTTGCGTCTGTGACACCGATCATACGTGTTACAGTCGCCGTGTAATGCACACACTTCAGAAGTGTAGGTATGCATAAACACGATAATGCTTACAGTTGCTGAAACGCTGTGCTTCATGGGGATATTCCACGACAAGCATCGATCATAATTTATTCTGAACAAACTATTCAAAGTGTCCTTCATAGGCATTCCTGTAGACAACACTTTCCCTTCCTCAAACTGGTAATGTTAACAATCAACATAAAATGCATACTTATTTATATGAGGATTGGAGAGAGGAAGGTTGTTTTTTATTGGAGAAAACGATTCTAACGAAAATTGCTTCCTAGTTTTCAAACAACCTTGCGTTATGAAGCTTGTCAATCCTAAAATAAGGCTGCTACTAACTATGCTAAGTGTACGTATGAGTATCAGAAGGTGGTGTGCGCCTACTATTATCTATGACCGTGGCGCCTACTGTTTTCTGCCTAAGTAGGGGAGAGAGGTCATATTGCGCCATGTTCTTAAATGCGCCACACCTTCCTCCTGCCCAAAATTCGATTCGAACGAATACTCGAATGTGTGCATTTACTTCACCACCAATAACTCGCTCTTATTCCGGTCCATGAGGGCAGGTGAGGTGTCTCAGCTTTCTCGCAGACCATTTTTTTGTGATTTCCTCTATTTTCTTACGCGAAACAGTCTATTTCGACCTTTGCTAGTGTCATGGTTTATCTTAGAGATAGTGATTCAACTATAATAATCATTGTGATAGTGATTTTTTTTATAATAATCATTGTTAATTGCTCGTTTAATGGTAGTTTTGAAAGTTTATCACCACCGTGGCTTCGCTGTCGTCGCCATATTTGAAGCTCATGAAAAATGTGTTCCATTTGTAATCATGCGCCCACCCTATTTGTGCCCTATTCTTCAACCCAGAGAAACAGCATCTGGTGGTTGGGACACATTTCATTGAACAGTTTGATTATTAGAGCGCTCACCTTACCATTACCTTAGCCTTCACAGCATAAATGGTTAATGGGCTGACACGTTCAAATAGGCTACTTAGTTAGGTGGCAAACCGTTGTTTTTAATAGGGCGCTTTTACATGAGAGGCATGGGCGCTTTTTGATGGGGGAGTCCGTAAATGCGCCCTTTGCAGATGTGCCGGAAAGCTTTTCTCTTGTTAATTTTTCTGGGTGTGATACAAATTGGGAGTTGTTATTTGATGCCAAAATAACTGAGGTACAATTTGAGATAGGTATCATCAAACATGACAGCTGGTCAACTTTAGCCGCAATAGGCCGATACCCTAAAGGTGGCGCAATATGACCTCTCTCCCCTACATATTACCTACTGATGTAGTAATTATTTAAATATAACCTCAACAAATGCAAAACAATCAAGACGAGGATAGACATGACAAAGTTGCAGTGCAATTCAGTCAAATTTGTTTTAGCTAGATAGATGACAATGCAAATAAGCATTCTTCACTATAGTCGTACCTATTTATTAAGCCTGTCTGATTGCTAATTAGATAAGGTGAAATTCGAGCTATTGCAAGGAATAGAAAGTCGAAAGTAAAATCAAGATTAAGGTAAAATTTTCAGCTGGCCAGTGTTAAAGGTACCCTCCCTCCTTAACATTAGATTTGAGTTGAGATAGCCAAAATGGGGTCCCTGGCTCACAATTACCGGTTTCGGCACTCACAACATCGAGAAATGCTTTAATTCGGAGATATGGAATTTCAAACTTGCAGTTTTCGGATTCTAAGGGGCTAGTGCATTGGTATGCCCCCTTAGAATTTGTGACGTCAGCGGAGATCTAACGATTTTTAAATCTTTTACTAAAACGTTTGGTAGCACGCGGTGGTATATGCTGCTTTGCGCGCAACAAATGCCGCACTTTCAAATAAAGTCGCTAGGAACAGCGGAGATCCCAAAAAGTAAACAAAAGTAAAAGTCTAATATCTTGAAAACCGGTGAATATTTTTCGATGAAATTTGGTAGATATTCGTTTTCGCTCTTTCTGACCCGAGCTACATCACTTTCGTGCCAATTCATTAACTTTTTTGAAGGTGGGAGGGTCCCTTTAAAGGTATGGAGGCTTTACGTGGGTCTTTTCATAAGAGCGCATAAAACGATTAGACAGGCTTAACCCTCGCCCGTAAACGGCGATCTGCCACCTTCGCCCATGCAGGGGGGGGGGGTTGGTGCGACCCCCCCTTGGCGTTTGAAAACGGAGCGTCGTAGAGCTTAGCGGAAAAGACCAACGGATTGCTCTCGCCGAGATCTCGCGATTGGTGGTATATTTTTTGGTCCTAGGTCAACATTTGACCTACTTTTGACCGGTCAAAGGTCAAATTTTCGGAAAAATAGACTTTTTTCAACTTTCCGCGGCGATTGCGGCAAAACGGTGGGAGATATCGACTTGAAACCTTCACTATCGTGTTCCTTGATCAATTCTCTATCGTTTGGTATGTACTTCGTTTCCCTAGCTCTAAAAATGGCGCGTTGGGAGCGCCGGAAGTCGGCAAGGTCACAGTCGGCGGCAGAAATTCGAAAAATCAAAATTTAAATTTTTGAAATCTGATTGTATTTTTGGATTTGGGAGGTCCATTTGCTCCCTAAAGAAGCTAATATCGCTGCATATTCCCATTGAGGTGACAAGAATTAGCAAAATAGTGGTTCGGGCGCTTTTCAAAAATAGTACCGGACGCTGTTCCTCTTGTGACGTCATAGCTCCGTGACCTGACCTGACTCGGTCAAGTTTCTTATACCATATGATAGCCAATACTTGCCCCAACATGCATGGGAAGTTTCATCACGATCCATCAACCGATGTCCGTACCACCGGCAGGAAACCTCGGGCGCTGGCACTCAGTTTGTGAAAATCCGGCCGGAGGCTGTTCCCTTTGTGACGTCATAACTCCGTGACCTGACATGACCCGGTCAAATTTTTTTTTATCAAAAGATGCGCAAGGTTTGCCCCATAAGGTACCCAAAAATTTGGCGGCGCTGCGCGCCGCCGTTTTTGCACTATTTCCGAAAAACCTCAGGGGGGGGGGTTGCACCAACCCCCCCCCCTACATGGGCGAGGGTTAAAGGAAAAGGGCCACCTTTAACATGGGGATTGAAACTGAGATAGCCATCTTGTAGCCCGTGTCCGAAAACCTGTCTGTCTACCTCCTTACGGCCGATTTCGGCCTCCATTCGTAGTTATCGGCAATTTAAAAAGAAAATACGCCAGGAATGCGTCCTTATCCCAGGAATGCGTTCTTATCCGACAATACAGCCACCCGCAGCGAGGCTTTGGTTTTTTACCAATCAGCTCCAACCAGCTCAGCTTTAACCAATCAGCTTATCTGACACAATCCGACGAGTCTGTCTTCTGAACGCTGATTGGCTTGAGTGTGACGTCATCGCTATGCCATCATACAGTAGGTGCCGTAGAGAGTATCAACATAGTACCAATATGTTAAATAGTTTTAAATACTTTTTCGCGAATTGTGCACTTCTGGCACCAGTTTTAAAAAGAAAATGAAAAATAATAATGTCAAAATGAAAAACAACGATATCTTCATATTTCACGAAGGTGGCCCTTTTCCTTTAAATAATCGGATTATAGTGTTAATAAGGTGGAGGGAGGTCAAAGGGAGGGGCTAGGCTCTATTTACAAGGGTTCCTCTAGTTTTCTTTCCTACAATATCTTCTAAATCGATAGACTTGTTACGCCAAACGTTAAGCGCTATTCTCTGCATCAATGTTGTATCCTCTGTTCCCAATTTGACCTGACGTGCGACTTTTTCGGTGACCTTAACCCGGCTCCGCCTTAGGCTGTTTCCGTACCCGCGACCGCTTGGGGGGCCGGATCCGACCCCCTCTGTTATCTCGAGAACCGTTCATATCGAGCCCCGCAAGTAGGCGAGTAAAAGCTCTTCACGAGACCTTCCAAACAATACTTAAGAGTTCAAGGCTGAGGTCTGCCTTCGGGTCAAAATCAGGTCAAATGTCAAATGCTGGGAATCTGCATGACGAGGCTTATGGTGGGCGGAATCAATAGCTTCTGTCCGAAACTCAGCCAAAGTGATCTCACTAGTTTTGTGAAAAGACCTTGGAGCATGAGTGTCATATGTTAGGTACTGAGCGCGGGTCAATGTCGAGGTCAAGTCACAATAGGTCACTTTGAGACAACAATCGACAAGATTTACGATGTCTCTTTAGGGATAGACCTGACGTTTATTTTGATAATAACCGTTCTCACTACGGGTTATCTGGCGAATGCACCAAATATGACTAAATCTGCACCTTCTTTTTAAAAACAACAAAACACGCCCGTTAGCCGATGTACCGCCTAACATATGTTCCGATACCTACTTAACAATTTTGAATTTTTTGCTTAAATGAATTGAAGTCCAAAAAAGTAAGTTTTTTCCATTTTAGTGTTGGGTAAAACTTTTATTTTCAAAAACCCGAGAAGCCAATTCGAGGAATTGCTGTTTGGCATCTTTTGACGTTTTTGAGTTATATTTTGCTTTGGGAGACTTTTCAAACATTCACCCTATAGTGACAAAAATGACGTATAGTTAGGTCAGTACATTGGGTATATCTCAGCAAGTTTTTTTATCAAATCGCAAAA